GTGGCTAGCCTAATGTTTTTGTTTGCCAATGTTCAAATCTTGGCGGTATAATCTACATGTCCAAAAATGACTGCGATTCTGTGTCCCTCAATGGACCAAGAAACATTTATAGCAAGTCCCAAAAAATGTTATTCGGTGCACTCAAACAAAATCGGAGGAAGTTGAGCCAAGTAAATGGATTCCAAATATTTCAAATTAAGCTCACAATTGCGTGTGCTCACAAAATGGCGAAAAGCTGTGGTACGTAGAATAGTGCACAGGCAAATCTGTAAAAAAGCCTTTACAGCTCATCAGTGGACTGTGAGTGATGTCCCTGGAATGATTGCTCTCATTCTGGCATCCGTGGCGATAGCTAGACTGTGTGGTGCAGTCCTTTCTGTATGTGGGTGCTTTTTATTTTTTTATTTATTAAACTTTTTAACTTCATTAAAAAGAGCCCCCTATGTGGTAACATAATGCGGATGCCAGGTTCTCTTTAAGGCAATATCCGGGGTCTTTTAAACTCCTAATGTCACCTCTGGACAGACTGCTCAATCAGCTGCTTCCCTGGCCAGAGCAGCTGGAGTTTTGACAACTCTGAATCTGGAAGTGCTCAGAGCTAAGCGCTTTCAGGTCCTTAAGACACAGGGGACATCAGTAAATAGATGTTCAAGGAATCAATGTTGGTCTTAATGATCCACAGGCTTGAGCCGGGATAAGATATCAAGCTTAGTCTCTGAACAACATGAATATGCAACAAGTAATTAAAGATGTGCCATTGTACATAGGATGTCAAACCACAGAGGGGGGAATTCATCAAAACTGGAGCAGACAAAATCTGGAGCAGCTGTGTATGGCAACCAATCAGCTTCTCTCTTTCATTTTCAAATCTTAACTGAACAAACTGAAGAGAGAAGCTGATTGGTCACAGTAAACAGCTAATCCACACTGTCTGCTCCAGTTTTGATAAATTCCCCCAATATGTTTACATTAGTCTGATAACATATCGCATCCAAAGGGAAACAAACACTATATTCATTAACATTACCCAGTGAATGTGTATTTTCTAGAAGCAAAATGGACATTTGATAGTTGCCATCTTCTAGAAGTCTTTTCCGTCTGTTTTACGATCCAGAATGATGACCATTTACTAATCCTCTTTTATAATGTCTTCTAGGCATGATGTGGACTTTTAACAAGGTGTCAGCGGGGCTGGTGTTTATGAAGGCCTGTTCTGAAGACAGTCCCTGTTAGTGCAGGCTGGATGTCCCTCTGCCGTCTCGTTGTGCCTTTTGAAGTCCTAAATGCAAGATTTTCTGTGTGCTGCCCCCTTGTGGAATTTTACAGACAGTGCAATGATATACTGTGTAGTCTCATCCCAGATTTTATTTTTAAGCCATCCTACTGTTCCATACTTCACATAATGCTGGCATTAAAATGAATCTTTTTTTATTCATAATTTACAGTGTTTAGATTATTGTAATTTATGTTTCCACCTGAGACATTTTTTGTCTATGATATCTAATTTTTATAAGAATCTGTTCTTTTTATAGTTTAAAGTGATGCTCTGACTAAATGACTCAAATGTCCCACAGCAGTTAGCACTAAATGTTTATTTCTCAATGTTCTACTGATAAAATTATATTGCAGATCACTAAGTTATTCTAAATTATAAACAAAAATAATAGCGATGTATGTTGGTGGCTGCGCATATTGAACCTCCAGCTGTTTGATGTATTCAACTTAGAGTTTTTAAACTGAGCCTTTATACCGGTCCTCTTTAAAGAAGATGCAAATTAAGTTAAATAAACCTATCATTACAGTAATACTTGTGATGTCTTTAATTTTTCATGTCATTGCCGGTGTGAGCCACTGCAAAGTCAACTGATAGGGGATCTTTTTATATTGTATTGGCCCCCAAATTTTGCTAAGCATGCCATTTTACTGTCCCTGGTTTGAATACTTTTTTTTTTTAAATTTAATAATCCTAACTTTTTCCACAACACGATCCAAAAATTTCACAAAAAGAAAAATGGCATAATATTTGAAATCACTCCAATATGAGAGGAAGAAACAAGGAACAAGACCAATTTGATTATATATAGTGTGTATATATAAACCATATCTAACCCCAATAATGTGTTTAACAATTAATCACTTTAAAATTATTAAATTCATCCCAAACTACTACTTTATAAAATATATCATATTCAAATAGCCTTTATAATCTTGTAATCAATATATAAAAAAATGTATAACATTACCCATATTTAAACAATCCTCTTCCTATAATATTAACTACTAGTCAAGTGCATTTTAATCAAAAATATTCAGTGGTTTTAATTCTTTAATGTCACTGACCTGGAACAAGCGTGCAGGAAATGACCTTCTGATATGCACACTTGTTCTGGGTCAGTAGTTCAGTATTAACGATCCAAGTAAATTGGGACAGAATGGTAGCCAGGCAACATTTTTAGAAGAGGTCCGCAATGGATTACAGCTATCTACTCATGTATCCCCACCCATGCAAAGCATCTGTAAATTGTATTCTGTCATTCTGGGTTATTTGCTTTCAGGAGGTTGGGACACTGGCAAACAGAAAAGTTGTAAGCCAGCCCTGGTATAAGCACTATTTTACCCAGCATGCCTCAGTTTTTGCTAGTGTCCTAAAAGGTTAGATGCCATTTCTTCAGCTCTGCTGATAAATTCTGTTTTGCCTTCTTCGCTTCCTGGAGATTTTCTTCTGTCTTCAACCAAGATTGCTACACTACTTCTTAAACTGATCTCTTCACAACATACATATTCAAGTAAACAACAAGGATTCTGTTAAGTTGAAAAACAGAAGAAACATCATATACAATACTTTCTATTAGAGGTGCACCGAAATAGAAATTTAAAAAACAAAACTGAAATAGAAAAAATTGTCAGGCCGAAACCGAAAATGTTTTTATTTTAATTTTTTTACATTTTTAATGGCGGCCCAGCGTTGTGGGAGGAGAGGCACCGGTCGCTCGCAGCGCTCTCCTCACGCATCGCTCAGCCGGCTGTCGCTTTCTCTCCTTCTGGCTGGGACATAGAGCAGCGCCAAGCGGGGAGGAAAGAAATCACGGATGCGCCGATGTATCGGCAGGAAAATTGCACTTTTTGGCATTTAGCCATTTTCGGCCGATACATCGGTGCATCCCTACTTTCTATATTACAATAGAGTTTTTATCAAACCTTAACAAGCTAAATTAATCCATCTGAGCTTTGACCCATTTGTACTCCTCATAAGATTTCTAATCAATCACAAACAATTCTACACATTTATATCCCACATTGTGTGCCATTGTAATAGAGGAGATGGGAAGACTTTACTGACTCTGCATTTTCTAGATCAATGTTCACTTCCTCAGGAGATGAGAAGTAAATCTATGGTCATATAATATCCATTAGTACAATATATTATAAAAGTTACATAGGTAAGGTTGAGTTGAATCTATGTGGTTGTGTGTATATAAAGTGTTAAAGGTCCTGCGCCAAATTCAAAAGAACCCTGTTGCCAGTTTCAGTTGCTTTACCGACACTTGCCACAGATTCAGGAAGTCCTCAATACAGCCACTTTAGGAATGTGTTGCTATGGCTGATTCAAATAGAATTACTGACAGTTTACAGATTAGAAAACTGGTGATAATTAAGACCAACTCTGATCTGCTGTACAGAGAGAGGCCAGTGCTCAGAGTGGGTCATGTATGTGCTGGAAGCCCTCAGGAATCTGACTGCTTCACATTTATTGGTTGCTAGGACAGCAGACTGCCAGGGTCCTAGCAACGAATTATGCATCCCAGACACTATTCAGCTGAATGTAAACAAAGGGGCCAGGGCTGTTGGCTGATCTTATCCAAATAGAGCCATATTTGGGCAATGATGTCAGCCAGTGCCCCCCTTTGTTTGCATTGTCTTAAGGTGCCCATACACGCTTCGATTTTTGTTCGGAAACTTTCCACGAAAGGTCTTTTGAATTATAATCGAACGATGGACAGCAAAGACTTTTTTCTTTTTTGCTGTAATACTGCTCGAGTTTTCTCAAAGGGTTAGGCTGCAAAACATTTTTCTGATCAAATGAAAATCGATGGATTAGTGGCATTTTGGTATGAAAAAAATCGCAGCAAGAACACTGCACATTCGTGATCGAAAATCCGTTCTGTCGATCATCAAAATTCAGGAGGTTGGTATCGCTAACGAGCGATTATCGGAATAGACGTTGGTCTCAACTTAGTTAATTCAAATTGGTATGTAAGAAGGGAACTCAACTGCCTGTCAGTGAAATCCCAAACGGTGGACACCTTCAGCCCTTTTAGTGGTATCTTTGTTACGGTGGCCATACACTTTACAACCATCCCAAGACCTTAGTCTTGGGATGGTTGTAAAGTAATTTAAAAAAACGTACGATCTGCCCATCTTGGACAGGAAGATAGTACTTGCGATCACCGCAAGCCCGCCCCGCTGAGGAGCGGGCTTCCGATGACCGCAATGCTGGACGGGCAGTGTGCGCGTGTGTACCGGTCCGTTCGGCATTTGTCTCCCGAGCATGCCACAAACCAGCCGAAAATCGTAAGATTCTCGGCTGGTTTTCGAACATGCTCCTTAGACAAAAGACGTGCGACCGTACAGTAAAAACGGTTGCACGCCTGCCATACACTTTGCGATAATTATCTGATTGCGGGATTTCCCGCGATTATCGTGCGATAATCGCACAGTGTATGGGCACCTTTTAACATGGATAACTAATTAATGCACAGACCATTGATTAACAAATCCCTTCCCTAAGGAAAAATGTTCTGGAACACGCTCAGCTGGGGGCCCAGGACCCTTTAGGTGTTTCCAGTGAGCATAGGGGAATACGTCAAAAAGCAGGTGTGCTGTAGCTCTAAAAGTCCCGAGACTTTCAGCTCTTCCAGGAGTGGCTGAAGATTCCCCCTTGTTCAAGGAGACCTCCAGGTCCACTCTGGACTTTCTAAGCGCACTCTAGCGATATCCCAAACAGAGTCTGTGTCTGTCCTCTTCCTAAGCTTGTAACTCAAACTGGGCTTGTAGCCCCTGTTGGGGCTCAGAAATGACAACTGTCTGTATCAAGAGTAGTGATGAACCGAACACCACCGTGTTCGGTTCGTATTCGAGCGGCCGAAAAGTTCGAATACGAACTCGAACTCAATGCAAGTCAATGGGGGTCGAACGTTCGAAAATTAATGTCCCCTTTAAGAGGTCCCCTTAATGTCCCCTTTAAGGGGTCCCCTTAACCTACCTGTGAAGTGGCGGATCTGTAGGATGTATCGAACCTGCTGCAGCAAAACGAACATTTCTAAACAAAGAAAAATTACATTTTTTTTCCTCTTAAAGTGTGCAGTCCCCCTCCCAAACAATACCAGACCCTTTAGGGAGGGACCCCCATGTACAAAAAAATAAGTGTGTGGGGTTCCCCCTAAAAGTCCCTACCAGGCCCTTAAGGTCTGGTAGGAATTTTAAGGAGGAACCCCACCCCCAAAAATGGGGGGGGGGCATGGGATCTTCCCTAAAATTCTATACCAGACCCTTAATCCAAGCATAGGCCTGGCAGGGCCGGAAAGGGGGGGGGACTAGTGAGCGCCCCCTCCCTCCCACACCAGGCCACATGCCCTCGGCACTGGGAGGGTGTCCCCGTGCCGATGGGGACAAGGGCCTCGTCCCCACAACCCTGACCCGGTGGTTGTGGGGGTCTGCGGGCAAGGGGGCTTATTTGCATTGGGGTACCCCTTTAATCAAGGGGGCACCCAGATGCTGCCCCCCTCCCTTGTGAATGAGTAAGGGGTACTTGTACCCCTACCCATTCACTAAAGGGTTAAATAAAATAGTTATTAAAAAGTCCAGGCTTTTGATAAAATCCTTTATTTGGACAAAAAAAACAAACGACATGTTTTTGACAAAACACCCAAAAAATTGATCCACCGACGTAATCCAGTGTCAATCATGGCGTCCAGCGTTGTCCACGAGAAGAGAAAGAGAAATAATTTTTTTAAAAGCCTGCGGTCCCGTCCGCTCCCACCGCATAATAGCATTTTGTCAGATGCCGGCAAAACATACACAATTTGGCAGAGCTAGCTGTCACAGCTAGTTTCGCCGAATTGTGTAGTTTACCGATATCTGATAGGCAGGCCATGATTGGGCAAAGTCATCATGACTTTGCCCAATCATGGCTCTAATTCAATACTGAGCCCTGATTGGGCAAAGTCTTGCACCTGACCAAGCTTCAGAGGGCATTTTGCCTTATGTAATGTCCGCGGTCGAACAATCTGCGAACTTCCCATAAAGTTCGGCGAACGCTCGAACTGCCGATGTTCGAATCGAACACTCGGCTCATCCCTAATCAAGAGAGAGTTTCTGGGTCATAGCAGCCTGCTGACAGCAGGCAGGTTCCATGGCCAGCCTACTATTGGCTATGGCACCCGCACACTCCCTGCTGTCAGCAGAAGAGCAGACCTGCTGGGGAACTAGGCTCTCAAAACACCTGAACAATGCCTGCATCCAATCAGATTGTTCAGGTATTTTGAGAGCCAGCGGGGCCGACTAGCAAGATATTGAAGCTTGGCCCAGTGGGAGATTCCTCCATCCACATAGTTTAGCGTAGATGGAGGAATCTGTTGCACTTTTTCCATCAGAC